ATTCGTTAACACATTGGGCCATATTTAATTAATCGAAGTACTAAAGGCTGAATAAATAGATAGGTAGATATATTCTTTATCATATGTGGTGATATCTGAATGTCTAAAATAATGTGTCGGCCAACTCATCAGCACCCAGATGTTAAGCACATTGACGTCCCTGTAGTAGTAGTGGGCCTTACTGTCTCCACAGCAACCAAGGTGTAGCTTCACTGTTTGCGGGGGACAACAAGAGAGAAGCTGTACGGAGCCTCACACGTGTAGGGAGAGAGCTGGTTGGTTGGGTGGGTGTGTGGGGTGAGGGGGCATTTGTGAAAGACAGCAGGTAAGAGGAGGAGTAGAGCGCTGGGTAAGCAGGTGCAGGGAACGGAAAGAGGGGATGATGAGATGGAGAGATGTAAAGAGGAGGAGGAGCACAGTTGCCTCCGTTGCTGGGCAGGCACGTAGCAGCTCTTGGGAGGCAGCCATGGCGACGTTGCCTCTACTGTTGCATCTGCTGAGCTTTAGCTGCCCCCTTTCATGGGGTTTTCCTGGGGTAATTGCAATCAGAAAGAAGGGCTTGACTGTGGAGCTCAAAGCCCTTCACCATCCCTCCACACTGGAGCTGCAATGATTAGTCCATCGAAAGAAAAAAGAACTAATTCCTTATTTAAGTCATTTTCAAGCAGAAATGCCTCTCAGTGAGCTGTGGTAATCTTAAACAGGCATTTTTTTAAAGATTATCGGACATAGAATAAATGATAGGATGGATAAATCACTAAACAAATTCAGATTAATAGCCATTAGTTGATTGATCAATTTGCCTTTTTCCTGTTTCTCCAGGACAAGAACACACTTCTCCATTTTAATAAAACCATGAATTGAATATCCTTTGGTTTTGGACTGTGAGGCAAAACAAGATGTTATTTTTTTCACATTTTACAAAACCAATTGTTGGAACAGCTCAAATCAATGTAATACAATCTACTTCATCAAATAGAAAGTAAGAAGAATGAAATCTATCTAGTCTGGTCATGTCTGCAAGTTTCCTTAAAAATGTGAGGTTTGAATTGGACCTACATGAAGTAATAAAGCAGAAATTGTTACATCACCACCCCAGCATCACAGAAGCTTTCATTGTAAGAGCGTTGAGTCAGAGTTTCAGCTTCATTTGAGAGGAAACCGGTTGTCGTTTGAAATTAAAGGCTCATATCTGGGACGTGCTTGGAAATTGAAAATTAGACGGGTAATAAAACCCCAGAGATTAAATTTTTTCTGTGAAATGGCCATTAAACATGTTAAAATAAGCCAGTGATGGTCATTCAGTGATGGAAAGGTAGTAGCTATAACAATGGCAGAGCTTTCACTCGGCAGGCACCAGACTGTGTGGGGGAAGTTGTCCCTGGGGATACCTGAGCTACCTGTACATCTGTTACACCTCATAAAACCAATCACTGGTGCAGGCTTCACCTAATTGTCTCCTAACTGCCTTTTGTTTGCGTTGCCAGGTGGTTGCCTTAGCAATGGACGGGGAGTCAGAGCCAAACCCTGCCGTCGCAGAAGAGGCAGGGGAGCAGGTGGAGCCCATGGATGCCACTCCCTCCCAAGAGCAACAAACCACACCCCCTTCAGAGGAGGCTGGGGAGGCAGTTTCCATGGTAACAGAAGATGAAACCACAAAGGAGGGCGGCACAGAGGACAATGATGATGATGTGGTTCTGGTGGAGGAGGAGGAGGAGGACGCTCCCCAGCCTTCTGCCACAAGCCTTTCCCAAGACACGCCCAGTGCAGACGGCCTCGAGCCGACTGACGATGTGGCATCTGTAGACATGTCCACTGCAGCGATGCCTTCCAAGACACCCAGTCCTCCTGCGTCTTCCAATGCATCCACAGTGGAAGCACTTTCAAAACCTCCAACCACAGCAGCAGAGCCCATTGTCATTGATGATGAGGAGGACTCTGAACAGAAAGAAACTTCCTCCTCCTCACCAGCGCCTCCTGGAGTCTCCTCCATATCCCACTCGCCTGGTGCACTCAGCAGCACCGAGCCAGATTCAGAGATCAGGATAGCCAGTGTCACCACGCTGGGCTCCAGTAGCCAGAAAGGAGAGTCTGCAGAAAATTCTCCGCCACATCCCTCGGACGTCCAGGCAGACATGAACCTGATGATTACCTCGGTGACATCACTGCAGGGAGGAGTGGCAGCTGTCACAGCGGTGAGGACCAACAGAACAGATTTTTATCTTATTATGGAGCTGTCTTCTAATTCACAGTCACCTCTACTCTGTCAAACTGAAATGTGTCAGATGTCTTCTGCTGGTGAGAACAGGTCTTCTCTTTGGCTCAGCAGATTTTTCCGCGGGACAGTGAACAAAAACATCTTAGTAATGACGCTGCCGAGAGCTTTTATTTTTATACCAGTATTTATTTATCTAGAATGCACTGGCAGCTCCTTTAATTGGATGAGGTTGGATTCAGCGCAGGTTTCGCACAGTGCATAGCAGATGGCACTTGTCTTTTATTCATCATTATTGTTTTCTACTGTTTTGTCACTAAGATGAAAACCTAACCTAAACAACTTGTGTGTCCAGGCAGGTGAAGGCCAGGTGGAGGAAAATGGCCTGCAGATAAGCAACGCCTTCAGCCTGAATCCCGACACCCCATCTGGTCGACCAACAGCCTCCTTCAACCCTGGGCGGGGCTCGGGCCCCATGGGCCAGCTGGTGCAGAATGGAGACACAGGGACACACAACAGAGCAGGTGATTAATTCATTTCAGGTTCAATACAGGTAAAATGTGCTAATTGTGAAAGTATCACATCTGGCCTTCCTCTCTGTGAAGTGTGCAGCTTAGAAGAACTTCACAAAATGTTGATGCAGCTTATCATATGAGTGTAAGCTGCTCACATGTTTGTGTTTGCTTTTATATATTTCTGATTTAGTTTGTAGAAACCTGCTGATACCGTGTCCCTCTATCTCTCTCTCCTCCCCTCCTGATTGGGTTTGTGTAAAATCGGTGTTGTTCTGTTGCAAAGCTTCATATTGTGGGATGACCGTTAAGCTCTGTCCTTCAGTCACCACCTCTGTTTGAATTGAGGGCCAGAGTCTTGCACAGGCCCAGTTTTGCAAACCGGCACTTACCTGCACCCACAAAGCTTTATCGTGCTACCAATCCATTACCCCCAACTTTATCTAATCCAGTTCCATAAGTAGTTTTGCCATCAACAAGCTGCATTCTCAGTTATGGACTGATGTCTAATTAAGCTTGATAATAAACATCTCCTGTTTTTAAAGCAGAAATTAGTTCAAGAGTTCAATACGCTTTAGGATAATAGGACAACATCTTGTTAAATCTTGTCTTCAGAACACAATGAGTCTCTGTAAAACTTGTTCCTGCCAACTCCTCCTGTGTCATACTTGTTTTTAACTTTAGAACACTGTGAATTGTGGGTAATTGCCTAAAGCAAATGCTGCAGCATTGCAGACCTAAGAAGTTAAACACTTCCCAAGTGGACCATCAGCCACTTTCTGAAGTCCTGAGCCCTCATAGACTTACAGGCTTTGAAAGTCTGTTATTTGAAAAAGTGGGTCAAAAGTGAGCCTGAGACAGTTTCATGTCCCTGTCTCGCTCTACACGGGCTCCAGGTGGTGCTGTTGACTCAAGTGGTGCTCTTCACACAAACTGGATGCATCACAGTTTCAAGTCTGCAGTGAAGTCAGTGAATTGGATGTGTTTCCATGAGATATGATGCTAATTCCTAAGTTGTCCAGGATTGTAGAACAGATGTAAAAATGGATAATTTATCATCTGATTGGTTTAGATGCTTTGTTCTGGGTCATCTCGACAGCCCAGTGGTTTCATAACCGTATACCTGGAATGTTCCTGGTTCAATTCCACGTCTGTCCCTTAGTTTTCTTCTTCTCTACCATCATGTGTCCAGTGAAAGCCAGAAATGCCAAATAAATAATCATTGCAGGAAAGGAATGCAGGGAAGATAGACATGTCGAGACTTCTGAAGTTAAGGAAGTCATGGTTGTTAAATAAGTGTACCTTCCCATAAGGATTTATTTGGGCTTTTTTGTGATTGCTGCAGCATAAAATTCTTGATTTCACAGCAGCTTTTCTGAAAAATGTACGGGTTTTGATTGTCTACTCAGAAAAACCATGACCTGTGGGATGGAGACAGCTGTTAACTTAGTTTCTTTCCTTTCCCTCCCTCCAGATTCGTGGATCTCTCAGTCAGCTTCAGTCCCCCGCAACCAAAAACAAACCGGGGTGGACTCTCCATCACCAGCCACCTCGCTACCCAAACCTCCAGGCCAGTCTTCCTCATCGACTTCATCCTCAGGCTCCCAGCCACAGCCCAGGACGGTCAAGGTGATCCACTCTGTTCATTCAGGTCCCTTGTTAGTTACATTGTGTGACTGTATGAACATTTATATGACGAACAAACTCAAAGTTTGGACCATGCAGCTTTTGTATCTATGACTTAAACTCATACAGCAAGGTGCGACAATCATATTAGTTAAAACTGCTGTATTGAAAGTGTATGAGCTGTAAAGTATTCCCCAAAACAAACAATCAGTGGAGCAGATTCAAAAGTGATGCTGCTGAACAGTTGTAGCACTGTAGTTAAGCTGTAACTTAAGGCAACTGTTATAATGCATCTCATTGTTTTAAAACTGCTGTGTCTGCTGTGTTTGTTCAGGTGACCTGTGCTAACTGTAAAAAGCCTCTGAAGAAAGGCCAAACGGCGTATCAGCGTAAAGGCTCCACTCACCTGTTCTGCTCCACCACCTGTCTCTCTGCCTTCTCACACAAACCTGCCCCCAAGAAGAGCTGCACCATGTGCAAAAAGTGAGTTTTTGCTTAATTGTAATACCATTTATTAATTGAGCTTTGTTTATATCAGCCAAACACAATAGTCCTAAATACGTACATTTCCTCTTGGTGCTAATCTGTCTGGACTCTGGGTTTTTTGTTTTTCAGGGACATCACAAACATGAAGGGTACCATCGTGGCCCAGGTCGACTCCAGCGAGTCTTTCCAGGAGTTCTGCAGCACAGGCTGCCTCGGCGCATACGAGAACAAGCAAAACCCGCCCAAATCGGGCCTGAAAACCAAATGTACTGTCTGCGGGCAGCTCACAGAGGTCAGTCTGTCGGACACACATAACACATACCCCTCTCTTGACCATTTACCTGACATTCTTAACCAGAGCCATGTATTCGCTTCTTCTTACCTGACAAATGAATTGAGTAGCAATGGGCAAAAAACAGCGCGTAGGAAAGGATTAAGGGATATTAATGGCACAGACGGAGATCACTCAAGATTACACTTCACACTTCAATTTTCTGTTTTTTTGTGTATCCGAACCCTTTTAGATTGTTTCCCCTGTAACAGGCACAGAACATCAAGTTCGTAGCGGGTAGTTCCCAGTGGACTTGGGTCGGGTAGCTACAGAAGATCTTTTAAAACCAGTGTTTTAAAACAAAAACATTTTATTGTGGATTTAGCTTTAGGTGCACAAAACATTACAGTCATCGTTCAATAACAGGGTCAGATACAGAGAAAGCCTAAGTCCTGATAGGTTTCACCTTTTCTTCATTATTTACTTTGCTGGCTCAGATGTTTTAAACAAACGTCTCTCTCTGTCTGTCCCTTTTTTTGATTGTTTTCCTCATTAGGTCACTTTCATTCAATATTTATCATTTCCTTGTTCCCTGTCTTGCTTCTCTTCTCTCTCGTCTGCTTTGTTTTCCCCATCCCTCCATTTCATTGAGGCTTCTTAGGGGCCCGTTTTCAGTCGGCCTTTGGCTCAGTCTCCATGGCCACCAAAAACAGTTGTTTCAAATACTGGAGAGAAGTCCCTGCCACTGCACGATTACAGGATTGTTGTTGTGTTGAATTCATTTCTTGCGTAACTCAGGAGATGCTTCAGTGTTAAAACCATCAAAAGAAAATGAAGTAACCATTCAGTTACTGTGGCAGGATGAGATTTTTCTTTATGGTATTTTCTAGCTCATTATTTCATCGTTTACCAGCACTACTGTCACCTAGCAACCACAGCTATCTACATGTGTGGCATCATGTAAATCAGCTGCATTATTCATGTCTTCGCCTTGATTTGATTTACATTTGGAAGCCACACCATAGCATATACACATAGTACACTAAAAGTATTACTTTTCTTTCCTGTCGATTCTCAAGCTTTATTTGACTTGCTTGTTTTGCTTCATTGTGCTGAGCTGTCATTCTTGCCAGGTGTCTGCGTTTAGTCCAGTTATGAGGTGTATCCCAGTTTTCATCATAATTGGGACATAATGTTTATATCTGGTTGTTCATGATAGAACAACTTGATAAATACAAGAATCCCTGTGACCTATAACTCTATCAATGTTAAAATGAGGCCTCTTTGGCTACTAAGGGGCTCAGCTCTGTTAACTGTCAACGTCGTGTTGTGGATTTGGCCTCTCCACCTTATTGCCAGCGATGGGAGACAAGAGCAAATATTGAAACATGTCTTCCTTTTTGGCCAGTGCCGTGCTGTCACCACCACCGCAAAGAACCAGGGCGCAGTGGATGAAGCCACACCTGCTCAGGTAGTCAGCAGTGGTCAGAAACCAGGATAAGATGTATACAGGCACCAATATCCTGACTACTCCCGGAGTACACCAGCAAGTAAAATTGGGTTTCTCAAAACCAGAATAAGGATACTTAAGTTCGGGATATGATACTTCAAACACCCAGTAGTACCTGGGATTGTATATCATGTACACACAGTCATAGACGTGTGGTGAAGGGAAATGACGAGTGAGTGTCTCAGTGGTATTGTGTGTATTCATGCTCAGATTAAATGTATTAATTAGCTAAATTTAGTCTGTAGAGGACATGAAAGAGGGATTTTCAGCCACTGCTAAATTTCCATTAAAATGTTTTTTCCTAATAAGCTAGAACTCCACTTAAATGAAGTGAAGCACAGTGTCATAGTTAAGTACATGGCTCTCAGGTTGAGAAGCAGTGTGCCATTGAAAAAGAAGCTCAATGAAGTTCAGTTAATCGGGCCCCTGGTGCCCCCTTTGTGTTTTTCTCTGTCTACAGATCCGGCACGAGGTTAGCTTTAAGACTGTGACCCACAAGATCTGCAGCGACGCGTGTTTCAACGTTTACCGCAGGGCTAACGGGTTGATCATGAACTGCTGCGAGCAATGTGGCGACTACCTGCCCACCCGAGCGTCAGCCAACCACTTTCTGCTGGTCGATGGCCAACAGAAACGATTCTGCTGTCACACCTGCATCAGGGAGTTCAAGCAGGTACCGTCGCCTCAACCACACGATGCATGTGTGTAAAATGTCCCCGATTGGAGCCTGAATGATCAATACGTTAATGTTCCCTTTGTATGTAGCTGTGATGACCCCTCCTCCTCCTCATGGCCAGGAAACTGACCCCACAGCCGCTCAGATAACATCATTAATCTGGCCTTCTTACTCAGCCCTGAAGAGAGAGTGTGCGTGCTAATAATAGGAAACAAATATCATAGTGAGAAAGCAGATGGTCCTTGAATGAATCTACTAATTTGCCTAGAAAGAAATAATGGAATGAATGAATAAATTATGAAAGGAAATGCAGACAGAAGAAACATTCAGATTAATTGAATAGTGAACAATTTATGACACACAGCTGCTCACTAACTTAGGTCGGCATTTTAATTGTATCCTGTCAATCGTCAAATAGATGGACAGAAGTATCATCATTCAATTTTGATGTTTGTTTTTCTTTGCAAATATTTATTTGCATGTCAGGTCCCAGTTTGTGAGTTTGCTGTTTTTCTTTTTAATTAAAGTTGATGATGGCGTCACAGTTGTAGATGGATTAACCAGAAACTAGAGGTTTGAATAGTTCTTGTTGCTTAGTAACAGCAGCTTATTGGACATTTCACTAATGAATGGAGGAAACCACCGGGGTCTGTCTCATTTCAGTGGTGTTCAGAGAAACTGGCTCCCAGACAGTGATGTTTTCCTGCTCTGTCTCTCAGGCCCACAGTAAACTTGCGAGCTGCGCGAGTTGCAAAACGCTGATCAAGACGGGCGAGGTGCTCCACAGCCTCGGAGCGGCTGGCACCATGTGCTCCTTCTGCTCCGTCAACTGCATGAACAAGGGCAAACTGACGTCGACCTCCTTCATTAGTAAGTCACAAGAGTTAATAGACTATGAAACTGATTGTGTCTGAACCACAACCTTTCCAAGTTTAGGGTTCATGATATTTTTTTTTAAAGTTAAGTGGTTTGTTCTTGTCTCATCATTAGAATATCCATCCCAGCAAACCAAACCGAACTGTTAAATTAGGAGAAATAGTTATTTATCAGTAAAATAAAAACAAAGAAATATTTTATGTGAGTTTTAATGTCAAATGTCTGTATGTGCAGATACAGAACCCTCATGTCACTTCTGTAAGAGGAATTCATTACCGCAGTACCAGGCCACGCTGCCAGAGGGAAACATCCTCAACTTCTGCAGCTCACAATGTGTCACCAAGTTCCAGGTGGGGGCGCTAGTGTCTAGAAGACGCAATTTAAAATGGAGATTTACTGGTCTCACTGGTGGGCATCACATCCCTCCACCACAATGTTTTGGACAACTACTGAAAATATGCACACAGACATAATAAGAATGTCATATATTATTTAGTTCAGGTAAATGGATCAAATTAAAATTTCCAAACTGGTGCTCCATTGAAAATGTATGTCCCAATTTTTCTACAGATCAATAACGACATAAAGTGTAAATATACCAGAGGAGGAATAACCGTCAATGTTAAAATAAAACCCATTTGAAACAGCAGCTCACAACACAAACATAAACCACCATAGGTTCCCTCAGTGGAGTCCATGACCTGATTAGCATTTTAGCATCATGTTGCAGAATCTACATATTAACAAAAAATCAGATTCTCATCAAAGGCTTCATATGATAACAGCAAATAACACCATGTGTTATCAGGTTTCTGTGCATAGATATAAGTCAGCGTGTTTATTGGCTTCATTAATTACCTCAGTATATCAATTATAAAGATAATTCAGGATCATTAGACATGTTGCATGACAACAAGTCAAAAAATGTGAATGTTCTCCATGTGTTTTTTTCTTTGGTAATTGCAGAACGCGACTCTTCAAACAGCCACGAATGGACAGACGCCGCTCTCCACTTCAAACAACACAGTCCAGCTGAAATGTAACTACTGTCGAGGAGCGTTCAGTTTGAAACCGGAGATTCTGGACTGGGAGGTGAGACCCATTTTTGTGAAGACACACAGACACCCAGTCAAGGTCTTTCTCTTTATCTGAAGTCATTTCTTTCAGCAAAAATGAGAACATTTGCTGATTGTATTAAAAATGCTTTGGACAGTTGGTATTATGAAACAAGGTTTTTTAATATGTCCATTTGGGCTGTGGGACATTTTTATTATAAGACCAAGTGAGAAAGCAACTCAGGAGATTTACCAGGGATGAAAGTAATGATTTTTTTACCTTGATATGAGACTTTCATGCAGCCAGTGTTTAGAAGTTTGAAGGACTGAAATGTGACAGGACAAAAGTGTTCACATAAATCGTTTTATTTCATCCACACTAGCACCGTGTACTTTTCAAAACTCCCATGCATGCAGACTGAGAATATCTCCGATTCGTTAGCCCAGTGTGTGTTAAATACATTTATCCACATGTGTCTGTCTTCAGGATAAAGTCTACCAGTTCTGTAGTAAGACGTGTTGTGAGGACTACAAGAAGCTCCACTGCATTGTGACGTTTTGCGAGTACTGCCAAGAGGAGAAGACGCTACACGAGACGGTCAATTTCTCTGGGGTCAAGAGACCTTTCTGCAGTGAAGGTACTAATCTAATCTGTCCGCTAGTCTCCTCTGTTAGACACTTGATGAATTTTATTTTTAATGTAGTTTGAAGTTTTCATAGATTTGTAGTTGTTCTTTCCAGAATGCAATTTTTTTCCTTTAATTCTGTCTGTTTCACTTTCCAGGTTGTAAACTCTTATACAAGCAGGACTTTATCAAGCGTTTGGGTCTGAAGTGTGTCAGCTGTAACCACTGCAGTCAGCTGTGTAAGAGAGCTCTGACCCGGCAGCTCGGTGGCATGACTCGGGACTTCTGCACCGAGACCTGTGCCAAGAAGTTCCACGACTGGTACCACAAGGTCTGCTCATGCTCACTGTATCATAATTCTTTTCTTAATCTTGCTAAAGTCAAAGAAATGATGACTATTTTGTGAATTTTGTGGCCACTAGGCAGCGCGATGTGACTGCTGTAAGGTGCAGGGTAACCTGACAGAGTCGGTGATGTGGAGATCAGAACTGAAGCAGTTCTGTGACCAGGAGTGTCTGCTGAAGTTCTACTGCCAACAGAACGATCCCATCATGGTCACACAGAAAGGCCCCGAGAACTCCACCATAGGTATTCACATCACACGTGGACATACGTGCATCAGTTCAAGATTAGATTGTGTTTTTACACACATGCCGAAGTTAATACCAGATTAGAACGGGGCTTTTGTGTCACTTAAATTTCTTCACTGGGCAGAGAAGTGATGAATGTTATGTTCTCTTCACAGGGACTGAAGTGCAAGGGACCAAACTTGGGGTAAGTAAGAATGTGGCAAAGGTGTCAAATATTTTTTGTTTGCAAGTGTCTGTTAGCTCTGAACTGTTTCCTACCATATAACCATTTTGTCAACCAAATACAACCTTTCATTAGTTTTGATTGTTTTCTCTTGCAGCATGTGAACCAGGGCACTGTAGCGTACGCTGGTGGAGGTTTGATGAGAGACGTCAAGAACAAGGCAGTGCTCTGCAAACCGCTCACCTTGACCAAGGCCACCTACTGCAAGCCACACATGCAGAGCAAACTTCTACAGACAGGTAAAGCTGGAATTAGTCTCTGTCTCATTAAAGCAAAAGAGAATAATAGTTCCAGCGATTGCATCTCCTCATGACCCATTAATACTAAAGCTGAGTTGCAAATATACTATGGTTTTCTATATCCACAGATGTAGACGATGGTGTGAAGAGGGAGTATGTTCCTGTACCCATACCTGTGCCTGTCTTCATCCCCATGCCCATGAATATGTATTCCCAGGTCACTCCCTCTCTAGTCTCTCTGCCTATTCCGGTAAGACCTTACATCTCGTTAACTTGTATTAAAATTTTGATGCAGAGTAATTAGCAAAACCGTGTTATCACTAAATTAAGGAGACATTTTTCAATCTCAGTCGTGTGATTATTAAACAAAGCTGTGTCCCGCCCGGTCCAGGTTCCTGTGCCTGTGTTCCTGCCCACCACCCTGCAGGGGGCAGAACAGATCATCCAGACCATCCGTGATCTAAAAACCAAGATGACCTCTGACTCCCTGGAGGCCGACTTGATCTCCCTGGTGGATATGATCGCAGAGGAGCAGAAGCCAGGTACGCTCAAGAGAGGGATGAACGTCAGAGTTAAACTGGAAACTGTCAAAACATCAGATACTTAAAAATGCTTGTTATGCACTGAATCGATTTTATAGTTATAACTTATGTAAACATCCAGATACCATTGGTTTTATCAGCCGAGGTTAACAGGTATTTGTTACTGAGACTTCTGCGTCTACCCAGATGCAAAAAGGAGCCAAAAGCAATTTGTTAGTGAAGTTCAAACCATCTGAAAACACTTCAGCTAATAAAAATGTCCTGGCTGTGTGTTTCAGATGTGAAGCCAGTAAAAGTGGAGAGGGAACGTGAAGAGGAGGACGCCTCTAGTAGCAGCTCTGAGAAAGAGGAAGACAAAGAAGAGGAGAAGGAAGAAGAGAAGGAGGAGATGAAGGAGGAGGAGGAAGAAGAAGAGGAGGAGAAGAAGGAGGAAGCAGAAGAAGAGGAGGAGAAGAAGGAGGAGGAAGCAGAAGAGGAGGAGAAGAAGAAGGAGGAGGAAGAAAAAGAGGAGGAGAAGAAGGAGGAGGAGGAGGAGAAGAAGAGGAAGGAGGAGGAAGAAGAAGAGAAGTATGAGCCCGACCTGGACTTGGAGGCTGACTTCCCTCAAGGTAAACACCTCTGTATGTCTTTACTCATCAGGGCTCAGTCAGGAACTATCTGTACCATCATGTAGTTACATGTCCCGTTGTCCCCGAACATTCAGACGAAGGGCGGCAGTGGGGGGGCATGCAAGAGGCAAGACATGAGGAAAAAATTGTTCTGCAGAAATCACGTTGTCTTACATGACTTCTCTTTCGCATACTGACATATTTGTATTCTTCCAGTTTCCGTCACGTGTTAAAAGTGTCTTCAACGTTTCCACTTGTTCGCTGTGAAATTTCCTGACATTTTCCTGCTGTACTCTCACATGGCCTCACTCTGACATTTTCCGGACCTATTTACTTGGAGGCTGACAGGAAAAGTTCTGGAAAATGTTTTGAGCAATTAACTCAGATGTTTGTGTTCTCACGTACAGCCCCTCAGGACAAATTCAGGAAAATGTCCAGACTGTCTGAAAGCGGCTTTTGTCTTCATCAGTCACTTCATCTGTCATCCTGCTTCATCCTGTGCAGTGAAGCCGCTCTTATGTAACAACATCTGACTGCATGGGTTTTAATGGATCAGTTTAGTAATCGAGATTAAAATTCCCCCGACTGGTTATTTGCGGACCTGCTGTCATCACCTCCGTCACATCAGATGCCTTTAGATCCAGCGTACTATAAAGGAGAGAGTGTGAAGTCATTAACAGGCATCTTCTTTTGACATTTCTTATTTTTATTCCTTGTAACCTTTTCCACTGACCCATCACTTGCATGACTTTACTGAGCCAGTGTCAGTCTATCTCTCGTCAGCAAAGGCAAACCCTGACGGACCCGTTTCTTGTCTTAGCCTCAGACCCTGTTCCGGTCTTCGAGGGAATGGACGACGACATGGGATTCTCTCTACCTCCAGTTCTGGCAGAAGAGAAGGAGGAGTCGGAAGAGTCGGCTCCTCGACCCCAGCCAATGAAACAAGTACGCACACACACACACACACAAACACTTGCTGATACAAAGTTTGTGTCGACCAACTCAAGTTTACTGTGTGGTAACTGGTGTGTTTGTGTTACAGGGGAACAAGCGGCGTGCGGTGGAGGAGAACTCAGATTCAGCCTCGTCCTCTTCTTCCCATCCAGCCGGCAGACGCTCAGGGGGACGGTCGCTGCCTCTCAAAGCTCGGTACGGCATCAACGCCTGGAAGCGCTGGGCACTGTCTCATTCTGACCAATCAGATGACGCCAAAGTAAAAGATGGATCCAAACCAGGTGAGCTAAGCCTGATCTTTAACTATGTGACTCCAGTTGCATATTTGAAAACACGTAGGACAAGTTTGCTAACAGCGTTGGTGCTCGTTCTTATCTCTTGCAGGTTGGTCAAAAAGTAACCTGTTGTCGCTGAGCTCCGAGGAGCTGAACGTAGCTCTGTCCCGGTTTGTCAGGGAGGTCTGCCGGTCCAATGGGGAGCGCTACTCTCCAGACAGCATCCTCTACCTCTGTCTGGGGATCCAGCAGGTTGGGATTACCTCTGATAATTAAATCACAATCATTATTATTATTATTTTTATTATTAACTTTATAAAAGCATAGTTCTTATCTTTTTAAAATTATATTATAATAAAATAACTATAATAAAATAATACGCTACTAAAAATTTTGTTTAAATTTAGCATTGCAATAATAATAGTAAAACAGAGCACATGAAGGTAATAAAACTAAATATGATTAATAAAATACTTTTTTAATGTAATTTAAAAGATTTGAAAAACATCTAGACTTCTCAAAGGAAGCTTAAATTATAATATAGCAAAACAAATATAAGTTTATTCAAATACATTTTAGATTTTCTGTCCGTTTTATTGAAATTCCATCTGCAGCCATTTGGAGGTAGGAACTAAGTTTAGAGGGAGTGGTTCCAGTAGGGAAGACATTAGAGGTGCACACTTCCTCCTCAACTGCCTTTCTCTCACATGGGAGCTCTTGAGAGCAGCATGGCTCCAGAGTGGAGCTCAGGATTCTTTAAAATCCTCTGGATTGGGATTTTTCTGACAGAAAAATGTAAGAATGATTTCAATGTTTGTGTAAAAACAACAAGATGCAAAGATTTGATTGGTTTGTTTGAGTTTTAATCGAGTTTTGTGACTTCAAACACTTAAACAGATTTTTTTCTGGGCCTGCTGGGAAATACTTTGAATCCTGATATGTAGAATTCCTCTCGTGTTTTGTTGTGTCCTGTGATTTTAACTCTTTGCTGTTCACATCCTGAAAACAGTGATGATCCTTTAAATATGAGGACGCTAAAGTGTTTAGTTTCAGAGCAACCGCTTTCTTTTGAGCTTTTCTTAAATGCAAGTTTTATTTTATAAATGTTCGCAGCATCTTCACGCCAAGGGCCGGAAGGATGACCTGTTCGGTGACGTGTGCTACCAGCAGTTTGGAGAGGAGCTGAACAAAGTGCTGAAGGACTGGCAGCCCAGCGTGCTCCCTGATGGTGAGAGGAGTTTCCCTTTGTTCACTCATTGTCAATTAACTAAAGACTCATCGTGAATTCATTACAAATCTGACCACATTTTAAATTGAATTCACAAAATCAATGAATAATTCCTCAACAAGAAGAAACTAGGAAAGGAATAAAATATTCCAAGTAGTTTTCATGATTTCAAGGGGGGGAGGGGGGGGGTTATTGGCAGGAAAATCCTCCATCTTAACATATGTGCTCTCTAGCGCCAGCTGGTGGCACAGCGCTGTTAAATAACCTGACCAGTGTCCAGTGATTATAACTCTTCTGCTGTTCACATCCTGATTTACTGTGATTGCACTGAAATGTCATATGAGGACACTACAAAACATAGCAACGAATTCCCAGGATGTTTATAAGAAAGCTCCACACATCTTGGTTCTAATTTTAAATGACTTGGAGAAAGTGTTTGTGCTTGAATTATGTGCCTGGTCATCATGTGTGAAATTATTGAAGTGAAAAATGGTTAAATAAAAAAATCTCAATATCCAGTTTTCTAGAAAAAATTATAAAAAATTCGGATTAAATATAAAATGTGCCACAGTGAGTCGCATTACTTTGTATGTCCAGTTGTCCAAAAGTTAATTTCTGTTACAATTGTATTAAAGGTAATTATGAGGCATAGATTTTAACATCTTGGCTGATTTTCCTCAGGCTCTCTGTGGGGTCGGGTGGAGGAGCAGAGCCTGTGGAGCAGTCGGCAGCTCGGGGAGCACAGTCCCGCCGCCCTGCTGCGTTCGCTGGTTTACCTGAACACCAAATACTTCGGCCTACGCACCGTGGAGCAGCACCTCCGCCTCTCCTTCGCCAACGTCTACGGCCCTGACACCGTCCATCCTGTGACAAAGGAGACAAACGTCTGCATCCGCGTGCCTTCCATCTCTCAGGATCACCACGGTGAGGCCGGCAACGCGAACATGCTGCTGGTGCATTTTAGTAGTGCAGCTCGGATCTTATTGTATGAATGTAGTTGAATATTGTGTTCTTCTCACGCATGTTAAATGGTTTTGTTTTTTGGTTCTTTAGTACAAACAGAGTCAAGGAAGAGGAAGCGGAAGTTGGAGGAGGGCGATCAGGACGACGACTCGGGAGGCTCCACCGTTCGATGCCCGGTTAAGAAGCACGAGTGTCACCTGTACGACCTCTACAGATCAAAGTGGTGAGTTAAATATCTTCTGACTTCTTCAGTAAGATACAATGAATCTGTTTTATCACCGCGTCCATGAATCCTAACAAACATTTAAAGTCCTGTGATTATAACTCATTGCTGTTCACATCCTGAACCACAGTGTTGATGTTTTGAAGATGAGGACTTAACATAAAACAATGCGTCATAAGTTTCACTGAATTATTTTAAGGAAACTCAGAAAAATTGATTCACACTTTTCTCTCTCCCATGTCCTCCTTCCCTCTCTCTCTCTCTCTCCCACCACTTCTTTCCCCACTCTCCTCTTCCTCCCATTCCTTACTGTCTTCCATCTTTGTTTCCCTTCTCCTCCCTCCAGCCCGACGTTGTTGCAGGAGCGTCTAGACGTCTTCTACGTTCAGCCGGATCCGGCCTGCAGCCCCGGCGACCCGCTGTGGTTCTCCTCCACGCCGCTGGAGCGACGGATCCTGGAGAGCCTCCTCACCAGAGTCCTCCTGGTCAGGGACATTTACACAGACAAACAACGGCTAGAAGAAGACGAGGAGGAGGAAGAGGAAGACGTTGGGGCTGAAGCAGCTGGGGGGGTGTAGCAGTCACTTTGGACTTTAGTTAGTCGAGCCTGAACAGTCAGCAGCAGAGGTGGAGGAGGAAAAGGAGTTTAACTAGTAGCTTGTGTACGCTCCTCCTCACCCTCCTTGCAGAATTGCTGTTTCCTCCTGGTGAGGGACGTGTGCAACGGAGACCCTGAACAGGAAGAGGATGATGAGCAGCCCAAACTCGTCCTTCTGCTGATCGAGCTACAAACAGGATGAGAAAGTAATGAAGCTAAACGACACAAAATAATGATGTGAGGATCTAGTTTGGAGGAAACGGTGGTGGAGCTGTAATCTGTTAAAGTCGAGTTAAATCAGGTAGAAAACTTAAGTGTTAACAGTTTATCACCGTGATGTTTTGGGGGAAAAATGGGTCGTCCTGTTGTGCATTGCCATTAATTCTGATCATGTAGCTTGTTTTTAGTGCTCAAACAAGCAGCGTACAGATATTTGAGCTTTTTATAATGCAGAATCATACTTTAACAAAGTTTATCAGGAGGTTACGAGGAGACGACAAGGGACAGGAAGCCATGGAGTTATTTCCTCTTCCTTTACAGCTGTTTTGTCCTCCTCACCGTCGCTCTCCATCGATGAAAAGGGTAAAGAGGAGCGCGTGAGGTCAAGAGTAACTTACAAAGTGAATCACAGAGGAAGGGAGAGGAAAGGGTCAGATGCGACAACCAGAGGAGGAGGTCAGAGTTTCAAATGTCACAGCTGGTAGGTTGAAATTTCATCTTAATTCCACTCACATGTTCATGATGTGAAAAATGGAAACGCTGCAGGTAATAGGATTTTCTCTGGCCACCGTCAACGAGTGTTCCCAACTCGGCCACCAGAAAGTTTCACTTTATATCTCAAATGTTTATTTTAATGAACGATTAAACTCCAAATAACATCTTTGACACCACAACAGGGATGTAACGATGAACCACCGCCTCCTCACTTTTTCTTTTGACATTTGAACATTTCTATCATTACATGGAGGCAGTGGTGCAGCTTCGGTGGTTTAATAGTTTTAAAAGCTGTGCACACCCTCACAATTGTTTGGGCACATGTCCCATCTGATAACATGGAGGAGGCGGGGTTTATCGACACTAGATGGCGAACAAGATGCTTTGGCTTCACTTAAATGGAGCAATCACGTCGTCCATCTTTCTTTACAGTGAATGGGTGTAGCAGTGAGAATGAACGGTGCACGTCAACAGATGCCCGTGTAAAATAAACCAAATCACTGGTGTGGGTTTCTAGGGTCAAAGGTCGTGGCCTGTAACTTAATCAGGCTTGAGTGATGAGTGCATCATGGATTTCTTCAGTTTGCGTGAAGATGGAATTTCTGACTTTTCTTAAAACGCGTTTCATACCCATCTTCCTCCCGGTCCTCAGTATCACACGTCTCCGTTATTCTGAGCTGCTTTCGTTCCTCCTCATCATCCCGCTCCTCGCTGCTCTTCCTCTTGTCACTTCTGCTCTCAGGCCAAACCGTTTCACCACAGAGGACGATCCCAGGCCAGAGTCGTCTCTCACCGGGTCTGACTCGCTGTGGTAACCTACCGACATGCTGCATTTCTTTATTAGGACACTAGGGGAACCTTCAATCATGCCATGTAGCATTACGTGCGTACTAAGCCCAGATTGGGTTGCTTTGAAGTGTAAATATCTTCTGAAACAAGACGGTTATTTCAGATGGAGTCGACACAGACGGACAGAAACGCCCACTGAAACCTTCAGCTTAAACCCTTTTTTTTAAATGACTGAATATTTATTTCTCTTTATTAGATTGACTGCATTCTCTGGGAGTTTGTTTCATTGGTGCCATCTTTCTTCAACGGTCATTCATTGAAAACCTGCTGCACCCTCGTCCATGAAAGGGTCTCTGTGCAGCAACCTGCTACACATGAAGGATGTTGATTATTCAGAGCTCAACAGACTGTTTTTCAGACTTTTCCTTTCTGCTTCTGTCTCCCAGTGTTTCTACTTCCTTGGTATTTATGAGTCTTGTTTGAACTAAATGCTGATTTAGTTTAAAATCTCAGCACTTGTTAAGTGCTACAGGACTACAAGGCAAGACTTATATCAGAATAAAGAATTGGTTGTAAATTAAATTTTTATTTTTTCCATGAACTAAACTGTCCACTATCATTTTTCCTTTTTATACACATGTCCCCTTTTTTACTTTTCAGTTTTTATTTGAGTTTTCGTTGAGAAACTGTCATTGAGTTAAAATGAAGTTAATATTAATTGAGGGAATTTTTTTTTCTACTTATCAGCTTCTATTTAAAACAGGGAGAACAGTTAACATTTCCACACCTTTGCAAATGTGTGCTTCCACAACCAGTGCTCAGAATATTAGGAACACCCTCCACAATCAGTGTCTCAAATTTCTCAGATGAAGAATGAAGCCCAAAGAGCAGCTGTTGTATTAATGTGTGCGTTCCATGGTCTGGAACAGCAGCAGCGTGTCATAGGAACATGGGAGAAGATTAAACTAAACTTTTACACTTGACTGTGGAAGTTAATGAAACTGACCCTGACCCCCGATTTAAAACAGCCGGTTTTTGTTTTTCCCTGCTGGACTCCGAGGCAGCGACCAAACCTGCCACAGGTTTGGACCTCAACATTAGATGCTGTGGCTGGCTTCAATGCCTAATGTGAATGTGCCTATCTGTAAATACTGAAAGTGAGTGATTGTGACTTGAGTCTGATGCTATGTGTGTGGGCTGATCTGCTGATACGGTCATGTTAAATAAATGATTTCATTTTCTAACCGGGCTCCTTTTTTATTTTCCAGTAGTGAAGCCAGTAACATGGAAGTTAAAGGGTTAGTTCACAACCTCACAACGTCTAATTTCATGTAATTTTGAGATGAAACTCGTGCTCCTCAGTCGTTATATTAAAAAGGGGAGAAGAATCTCTCTTTTACTCGACCCCATTGGAAAGTAGGGATGTCAGCTTTAGCCTGTCCATCTGTGAAATACTGGACATGATTGATTTATAGTCCACTTTATTATCATAGAAATCCTCAGCATTTAGTGATTTTTATGTTAACATACGTTTTAAAAATGGAATTATTCTTCTTTAGTAGTTTACAGACTTGAAGACTAAAGGTGTAATACATTTTAGTACACAAAAATAGTAAAACAATATTTTTACACCCTTGAACTGTCCTTACTGAAACAAACAAGACACTGTAAATACAAATATGTACATTCTCAGAAGTGAGGAACTCAGTTTGTGCTGAATACAATTACATTTGTAGTAAGAACAAGATAAGAAATGGCTTAAACACAACCTGGACTCCTGAAGGTTAAGGACACAGTATTTGATAGTTTTGATATATCAGTATATTTATGATATATCAAAACTGGTTCTCACAGCTGTAGAATAAATTCATATTACACATTTTCACACTGAAAACATGCATCTGTAACGTGACTCCTGATCGACTCATTCAGAAGCTTCAGGCTTTAATCTGCTGCTCGTCTCTTCTGGTTTCTGGTCTCCTCCACATTTTGAAACCTGCCTGCAGGGATTCACTCAAGTTCAGACACAGAGCACTAAAGTGACGTCCAACACTGCCCAGGCTCGACATCCGCGTTCCTGTTCATACCGAAGGTGATGGATGGTTGAGGTCAGGGGCTCGGTGCAGCTCCGGTCACCGTATTCCACATCTAACCACTGGGGGGGGGGGTCTCACTGTCGTGCAGGAGGGGAAACAGGAAAGGGGACAAACACAAAAACACTGTCACCAAAAAAAGCACCCAACCGTCTAAAATGTCATTGTAGGCCTTAAAACCAAAGATTCAGATGTGTCCAAATACTTTTGGCCAATGTAACTGTCCGACATTATCTAATTCTTTTCCTAATATTTCACACACTTCCACTCAACAACTTTGTAATTCATTATTATGTAAAAACTTCAGTAATAGTTATAGAAACATGTGATTTCCTCAAGCAGGCCGTGATCTTTCTCCTCCCCGAGTGTCCAGATTGAATTTATTACGGCGTGTTAACGTTCGCACAGCACTGGGGCCTCTTCACCGTGTTCATGACCTTCTTTATCTCTGTCGTGTCCATTTTTACAAGGTGTCAGGCGGACATGACACCCAGGCAGTGAACGTTATCTGGATTATGACAGGCAGCAGGTCAGGAGGAGGCGCAGCAGGTCAGGAGGAGGCGCAGCCTGTCGACACCGAGAGGTCAGTGCCGGAGCCGGGGAGACCAGGCTTTAGGAGTCAGGGGACAGGAGAGGTTGAAGATGAGTTCCTTCACCACGCAGGGACTACGTAGGACAAGCATGCATGTACAGTGTGTAGTTGATAAAGATTGTGTGTTGTGGCAGAGCAGAGTGGTTCTCTAAGTATCTGCAGGGTCACAGGGGGCGTTTGGAATATTCCTAAAGGTCTCAACGACAAAGTGTGAGAGTGGGATCACTAATATCTACTCTTTCTGTAGATAATGTTATGTGACAGAGAGAAATAAGGATTCTTTATTCTACTTCCAAAAATGTGTAACGTCATTTAGATATAGGTGATTGGTACTGATACTTTACTGTACAGTGGAGTAAATGGAGACTCTGGGGAAGTACTCTGCACCAAGCTCATAAATATGTATTTTTCTATTTTAAGACAACTTCCTGAAAGAGGGATCCCTCCTCTGATTCTCATCCTGAGGTTTATTCCAATTTTTTTCCAACTATCTAATTCTAATTTTTTTCCACATCCTAATTGACGGCCGTGTAAGGATCAAGGTTCCTTACGCAGCACAGAAGCACTGGTTTACAAAGTAAAGTTATATTAAGAGATTTGTTGATACAGAATAATCTCCAGATGTATCCTGTGATGAATCCAAAGTTTCACTGAAGACAAAACACATGTATGACCAGACCCGAGGCTGAATCTGCCTTCATTTACTGAGGGAGCACTGTCCCCTCTCTTCCAATGGGGGGTGCTACACGCTCGCTGTGCCCCCCTGAGTCAGAGTGTCCCTGAGCCCCTGGTTTATCAGCACCGCCATCATCAGCACCAGACATGTTGTTTAACTGTAACGCACGTCATTAGCCGCGGGACGAGCCTCTGCTTTGTCGAGCTTCCGTGTCAGACGAGAGGTTTTCGTCTGTAGCCGGGCTGACGTAAGGCGGCCTCCCATAAGCCTCTGCACAGCCCACCTCCTCCTCCCTATACACACCCCCCCCCCCCCGGCCTCGCCCTCTCACCCTCCACAACCAAAGAAGAAGCAAAGCATGAAAAATCCAACCTTACTGAGGGCTTTAAGGAGAAAGGAGAAAAACGTTCCCCCCGTTTCACCTCGTTTTTTTTTTTTCTCTTGGGTGGGGGGTGGGGGGGGTTGAGGTACAAAACACGGTGACAAAACCCAATTTTTTGAAGAGGCAAGCTTTTTTCTTTCTGTGCTATCGGTCAGAGTTGGCCAGACTCCAGTAACTTGTCCCATTGATCTAAAGCTAAAACGGCCCTGTGCACCCAACACAACCAGCCCCAGCGAGGGAGCGGGCGGGTGTAAAAACATTTTTTCACCCTCGTGGGGTTTTTTTTTGTTTGGGCTCAATCCCCAGCTCTTTCAGGGTACATAAAGAAACCGCTGTGCTCAGCAGGGTCATGTGGGCAAGGCCCGTGGGGCAGACTATAGGTGGCGATTAGGGCCTCTAATGTGCAATGAATCCTCTTCGAATCACATGATATGAACTAATGTCGCCTTTTAATGATAAAACAACAGGGAGGCAGGGAGGGGAAGAGCCGCTGTGTGTTGTGTGGTTGTGTGTGTGTGCGTGTGTGTGTGTGTGCGTGTGTGTATGTGTGCGTGTGTGTGTGTGAGTGAATGCGGTACAGCTGCACGAGGACAAGAGGGCAGGAATGGATGACAACTGCATTTCTCAGGTTGTGTGCCTCAATATGCGGCACAGGACCAGCTGAAGGACCAAAAGAGTTTGGCTGGGACAGTGCGGATTCATGTGCACACACACACACACACACACACACACACACACATTTTCTCTGCAGATTTCCTTGCTTTTATTTCTCTTGGATGTTTTTGCTCATTTGCTGCTGCAAAAGGCAAAATGATGAAGTTATAGCCTCGTCCAAACTTAGGACGGCATAGGATAGGAATAGTATAACAACTGTACATCCCACACACACACACACACACACACACACACACACACACACAGAACAGTGTAACCTTGGCTCTGACGGCTGGTGCAGGGGAGTGGGGGGCTTGGATTAGGTTAAATTTAGGGTGGCCTGACCCTATTTGGTGAGAGCCATAGTGAAGCAGTGAGGGCCTCCAGTCACCAACCTCTTCTTTTCCAAAACACCCACTGACTGACACATAGTGTAGTTGAACACACACACACACACACRCACACACACACACACTCCTTACTATGACACCAGTGACCCTCCTCTTATTCAAATTTAATTATAAATAACTTAATGCAATTGCATGAAGATCATTTACTGTTTTCTAATATTTATAATGATTTTATGTGAAAAATTCTTTAAAAAAATCTAAGTCATTAAGATAAGATATCTGTAGTCGTGTAGAACCCCCCCCCCCCCAAAAAAGGTCAAAGGTCAGTTTGTGAGCTCAGGAAATGTATTTTAGAATAAATTCACCTAAAATGAATTGTATTAGGGACACTTTGTTATTATTTGTATTTTATGTGACCTCTGGACGGACAACGACCGACTGATTTCTTTGTTTTACTCGTTTGATTTGCGTTTATACCACTTTTATTTTTGGTATCAGTCTTTTCCATCTCCTTTGTGGCCCTGCACTTTGTAACATTGATAAGAAAAAGATGCATGAATACAGTTTATTAGATTATTGTTGAGATGGAGGAAACATTATCTACCTTTGTTTATTTCCAGTAGTTTTTTAGGGTTCATCCTCCTGACGAGTGCACCCTGATACCCAGCCAGGTGCATTGTGGGCACTGTGTCCATACCCACGGCTGACCTGTAGGTGTCCCCGCAGAGCTGACCTCTCCTCACATAGCTCTCATCATGCCCCCCCACCCTCCTCAGTGCAGACCCTCCCTCTCTCTATGCACACACAGTCAAAACAAGTCGTCCCACATGACCGCACACTGTACAAGTGCTGCA